TGTGTGTGTGTGTGTGTGTGTGTGTGTGTGTGTGTGTGTGTGTGTGTATGTATATATTGTCTGACTCTGGACAGTAATTTGGTGGCCAGTCCTTTTGGCTTCCTCATAAAGTTGGTTACTTTGAACATGCCAGTTTTAGGGTGAGAAGGAGTCTTGGGATATTGTCTCATGCATTCTTCTGCCTTCAGAACTGCACACACACACAGAGCTGTAAGATACTTGGTTATTTACATGTGCAAGTCTAAGAGCTTTCTGCCTTTTGTATGACCTTAGACAGCAAGGAAGCTTACAGCTGGTCATGTTGACACACACCTGTAATCCCCACATTGAGAGGAAGAGGCAGGAGGATTATCACAAATTTCAAAGCCAGCCTGCACTATATAGTGAGTTCTGGGCCATCCACAACTACATAGCAAAACCTAGTCTTAAAAGAAGAAAGACAGCCAGTGAGGTGCCTCAACAGTAAAGGTGCTTGCTATATACAAGCTTGACAGCTTGGTTTCAATCAAACCAAGGGTGGAAGGAGAGAACTCTGATCTCCATATACATACCATGGTATACATGCATGCATACACGAATGCACACATGGGAACATACACACTCCTACAAATATTTTTAAAAGGAAGTTTTTCATCAAGACCCTTTGCTGTTGATTTAGGTCTTATAATTTAAGGCTGAGCAGTCTCAGCTTTTCATCAGCCCTCTGGCAGAGAGCATTCTGGTCAGATTCCTGACCCAGTCTCAGGTATTTATCTGGGATTTGATACTCTTAAATTGGGGAAACTCACTTAGATATAGTGATGAACCCTCACCCTGATTTGACTCATTGTCTGTGGAAAAGCTAAAATTTCTATTTCATTCCCGTGGCCTGTAAGCAATCCTTCTTGGTATCTCATTTAATTAAAGGCTCCTCATTGAGTTCAGGCTAAATTAAGAGTTACTAGCTGGGATCAAAATGCAGGGAAGGGGGAAGCTGGCCATCTTCTCCCTGACAGAAAAGCAGCATTCCCTGGGAACTGAGGTGGAGCATTACTGAAGATGATGGACTTTTGTGTCTAGACAGCAAGGGTTCTAGTTACTTGCAGTCATTTGAAAAATATAGCTTGTAAAGAATGTTAGCAGGTCACCGCCCCTCTGTCTTCTAATTTTCTTATAGAAGACTTAGGTAATAGGCTTCTTAGCAGTGAAGTCATTCCATCCCATGGTGGTAGGGCAGAGAGTGCACATATGGAGAAAGGTTTGCCTTGGCCTAGACAGACTCTTAGACCATAGAGCTGCTGATGGTATGGCATGGTGGGAGGCACCTTTGTGATTGCTCCCTAGCCCATTATCTCTTCAATGAGCTCATTGTTTCTAAACAGGAGAGACGAGCCTTGGAGCGGAAAATGTCAGAAATGGAAGAAGAGATGAAGGTATGAAGGGATTCTTTGTCTCGGTGTATGTCTGTTCTCTGAATGCCTGTCTAAACTAGATACTTGAGCCCAGGCTTGCCTACTCATCACTGCTAGCTGAGCACCCTCAAGAAGAGATGCTGGGTTAGAGGAAGTGAGCACCTCTCCTCAGCCATCTTTTAGGCTCTCTCAGTTCATGTTGCATCTGCTATGGCCTTCTAGGAACAACTGATTAGTTTATAGGGAGACTTGTAGGCAGACTGGAGGCAATATCCCAAGTTGAACTTCAAAGCAGTGGCTTTTCCCTGGAAGGCTGGATGAAAGGGCTAGGACAAATTCCCCCTGCTCTGCAGAGTCCCCAGTAGGCGAGCTCCATGAAGCCTGGGCATGGCCACAGACCTTTCTCCCTACATGCAGCTCTTGCAGAAGGACCACAAGCTGAGTCATTCTACAGCAGTATGAAATTTTATTTGCATATTGGTTTCCTGTCTGAGGCCATCTCAGTCCTTGGCCTCCACATGACCCACTTGAGGGCTTACTGTCTTCCTCTTCTCAAGGATGACCTACAGTGACCATTACCTCTCATAGCTACTTCATGGACTGCTGCCAGTTTTGAGTGCCAGTCCTTTGCTATACAAGGGGAGGCTTAGGGTAGCTACCCACCTAAGACACTGAAGCAGCTCGTACCTGTGGCGCATTGTGCTAATAGCCAGGGTCACTTACTGCGTGCTCAGCTTTCTCCTTTCTGAAAGAATCATATTTTAGTGGATATGTAATGCCAAGTCAGATGTAGCTTTCTATAGCCAGGAGGCAGAAACCCCGGGACAATGTCAGACAAATGTCCTGCTGTGAGTAAGCATCTCTGGTGTGCAAGTGGATTGCTTCCTAAGAGATAGTTGTTGTTTTAATGGCCTAAAAAGATGTCATTTATGTATACCCACCACACACACAAAATAAGTTTTCAGGGTATGATCAGGTCAAAGGTCATGGTTTTAGTAGACCCTGTACTCACAATCCAGTTACCCCTTATAGTTGTAAAGTAGAAGGGAAATGCCAAGTCCTGCCCCTCATTTCCTAGTCACCAACCCACTGCTGTGGCTAGTAATTGTCTTATGGAATTTGAAGCAATAACCACTTATCCTTTAAACACTTTAAATTTCCCCAGTTGACTTAAAAGTAGCAAGAAGTAGAAATAATATTTGATTGTCCTGAGAAGAGAGCACACTACCTTAACAAACACCTTTGAATTAATTTTTCCATCTTCTGGATTTTCCAAACCCACCTCACTTACAGAAGTATTTTTCTTCCTCTTAGCATAGTATGCTATTATTGCCAAACAGGTCTTCACGAATGAATACATACAGTTCTATATGCGTGAGGGCTTTGCATCTTAAACCCTTACCTATACCATCTGCACTCTGCTGTTAGGCTGCTGTCCATAATGCTTGGTAAGAAATGGCCTGGGCAAGGTGGCTAAAGAGATGACTCCATGGTTAAGAGCACGTGTTGCTCTTGCTTAAGACCTGGGTTCATTTTCCAGCGCCTTTTTATAACCATCTGCAGCTCCAGTTCCTGGGGATCTGATGAATTCTGTGGGACCAGGCACATGTGTTGTGTGCACACACACATATGCAGGCAGAATACTCATACACATAAATTAAGTTAATGCTTAACTAAATTTTTAAAAATATATATTAAAAATATTTAAAATCTGATGCACACCTGTAACCCCAGCACTCAGAGAGGAAGAGGTAGGCAGATCACTGTGAGTTTGAAGCCAGCCTAGTCTACAAAGCAAGTCCAGGACAGCCAAGGCTACACAGAAAAACCCTGTCTCAAAAAAACAAACAAACAAAACAAAACAAAAAAAACACCAACAACTAAAGGCCTATGTCTGGGCATGGTGGCGTATATATGTAATCCAGCACTTGGAAAGCAGAGGCAGTCTCTACATTCAAGGCCAGCCTGGTCTATATAAAGACCCTGGTTCAGAAAAACTAATAAATAAGCAGTCACAAAAAAATAATAATAAAGAAAAGGGCTAAGAATGTAGCTTAGTAGATAGAGTGCTTACTTAGCATGCCATTGGCCCTGGGTTTGATCTTCAGGACTCCATAAACCAGGCATGGTGGTGTATACCTGTAACCCCAGTATTCAGTTCAGAGTCATCTTCACCCTGAACTTACTACATACATAGCAAGTTCTAGGTTAGCACAGGATACATGAAAAAAAACGGAGAGGAAGGATGCAGGGAATGGACAGAAAGGACCTAAGTGTTAATCTGGAGCATGTAAATCAGGCCAAAGCTCACACACACACACACCATGAGTGCCCTGAAGCCCATAGCCAAGCTATGTACTCTTTATGCCGTTCACATAGGCCCCATACAAAGACTCAGAAGTGGCCAAGGGGCAGGGCGGGTACTTGGAGCTCTTTCTTACTTCTATTCCCATTCTAAACTGGCAAGTACAGAAGCTCTTCCATATTCTAAGTTGTTCTCAAACCATTGGGTTGACACAGGTTTGCATGTTTCTTTCTGTGTTCTTATCCTGTTTAGCTGTGGTTTCTTAAGCTAGGCCATGAGTTCATTTCTTCAGTATTTCAAGAGATTACAGCACATGAAAGTGTTTATTCTTTCCAATCAAAAGTCATTTGCCAACAACTTTAAAAATAAATTTAAGAGGCTGGAGAGGTGGCTCAGAGGTTAAGAGCACCAGCTGCTCTTCTAGAGGACCTGGGTTCAATTCCCAACACCCACCTGGTGACTTAGAACTATCTGTAACTCCAATCCTAGAGCTTCCAATGCCCTCTTTTGGCACCTCTGGTACTGCACACATGCAGTGCACAGACATACTTGCAGACAAAACACCCATACACATAGAAAGAAAAAAATATAAATTATCAAATAGAGCCAGATCATAACTGGCGCCCAAACCAGTCAGTGAACTGTTTTGAGACTTTGTTAAAAATATATCTTATCACTCAGTCCCCATTATTTTCTACTGACACTTACAAAACCAAGTGGAGAAGAAACAAAGCAGACTGTACTGCCTGAGTAACAGTAAACATAATTTGCTCAGTCCTAGCATAATATTCCAGTTTGCAACTTGTCTAGCTCCCTCTACAGGACTAAGGGAGAGGAGTGTCAGACCTTAGCACCAGTGTTAGATTTTTGTCTGTACCTTCTTCAAATTCATGAATATATTATGAAATTGTTGTGATGGCTCTAAAGGAGTTAAAGAAAATTATTATTTAGTTCTCAAGGTCTTCATTTGACTTCATTTATACTGATGAACTTTTCTAAGGATTAGTGACTAAAATATTTTTATGAAATTGTCAATGAATAATACATTGGTCAAATCTGGGAAATCTTACCAGATGTGGGATCTGTTAGGCTTTGGGACCAGTTGCTCTGTATTTGTGCATAGTCAAGTTATGCAGGAGTTCAGTTTCTTGGAACCATCAACAAGCCGCTAATTGTAGGGATGACTTCCTGTGAATGCTTGAAACCTCAGTAAGCACTCAAATCTAAAAGTAACATCACTGCCTATTTTCCTGACACCAGCCAAATACAAAGATGGGCTCTCCTAGGTGTATGTAGGGCTCTTTGGTTGGGAGATGGTTGTAGTCTCAACCTGAAAAGGTAAGTATGAATTCTCCCCAGGAGAAACTCCACTCTACCATATTGGAATAGAATTATATGGCAGATCTGACAGGTGTGCATGTCAGTGTGAGCTGAGCTGGCTGTGCATTTGTCTTCGGATGTCCAAATCCAATCTGACACTTTTTCTGCCGCATCCTCCATGAAGCTTTAGCTTCCTTGCTAGACCCTTCCTTCCCTCCCTTTCCCAAGTCCTTGCATGAAAAGGGCCCAGCAGCCATTCCCCTGTAAGTTGCTTCTGGGATTCTATTTTGCTAACTCTGGAAGTACCACTAGCCAACTTTTGCCTCCTGTGCTCCGCTCTCCTCCTTGTCATCTCTTTGCCATGCTTGTTCTCATGACTGTTTCCTACAGAACATTCCAACATTCCACCAGATTGTTTCCTGCCTTTTACCATCATACTGAGCATCCAGATTCTCCCACCTAGAGCAGCCTGTGTCCACACATTTCATAGCTCTTTGCTGTAATATCCCTGGGAGGCAAAGACCACTTCATATAATGACAGTGAGTGTACTGAAATCTGTGGTCAGATGCCAACACCAAAGTATGGCATAAGCCAGAGGTCTTGTATGTTTCTCAAATTTGGTCATGTTTTTAAGCTCCTCCATGTGCTGTCATGATCTCCCTCACCTGTCCCCTTTATGGTCAGGATGCTAATGGTCAGCAGAGGGTGGCCCGGCCTACTCTCCTGTAGCTGCATGGAACTCCTTGGCAGCCCTGCCTTTTCCAGGGTAGGCATTCTTCCTCTTCGGGCAAAGAACTATTCAGCAGTTTGTCTCTGCTTGTTTTTCCTTTTCACTGTTTTTTCTCATGCTACTTTCATTTTCTTGCTGGTTCACTCCCAAACCATTGCCCCACTAATCTTTCATTTTTATCTTTTCCCATTATGTGATATGAGAGAGTTCTCTGATACCTGGAATGATTTTTTTGTTTTGTTTTGTTTTGTTTTGTTTTGTTTGCCATTGCTAAAACCCAAACCCTATTTACATAACAAAATCATTTCCCTCTTCCAAAAGAGCTGAGTTTCAGTTTCAAGGTCAGTGCAGAGGATCCCTTAGGAAGTCTCGTAGCAGAGTTAGCAGGCCTGTGCTGTAATCACTTTATTGAAGTCTTCAAGTCACTTGTGAATGATCAGGTATTGGGAAGCCTGTCTGTGCTGGTTATTCATTTGCAACACTCACGCACAGGTGGGTAGATTCCCACAGCGATCCAGCCAGTTCCATCATCACCTGGCATTTATGATTTCTCTGCCTTTGTGCATTCATAATTTCCAGAGTCTGTTTGAACACATTTAAGCAGCTCCAGCCTTGACATGAACTAGGGCAGAGAGCACACAGTTAGCTGTGAACATAAATATAAT